GGTTTTTTGGAAAACTTTGGGGGAAATAAAAAAAAAAAAAAAAAAAAAAAAACCTTTTGGCGGGGAAACCATTCCCCCGGGGGGCGGTTTTCGTCGCTCGGAGCCGTTCTGGGGACCACAGGGTGGCCTGTCACCACGGCCGCCACCGCATGCTGCGACGCCCGGGGCTGTTTCCACGTGGGGGTCTCCGGGCGCCCCCCAACGTGGCCCAGGCTGTGCCGGCTCCGCGTGTCCGTGTCCGGGCGCGCAGGCCGGACCTTGGGAGTCCCCTGGCCTCCTTCCGCCCCACAGCCACCCCCTGACAGCACTGGCTCCGCCTCCAAAATCCATCCCAAATCCACCTGCTTCCCACTCCACGGAGGCTGTCCTCGTCCCCGGCTCCCGTCCTCACCCTCGAGGTCTGTCCTCCCCCACTGGCTGCCACCAGAGGCAGGACCCATCCCTTCTCGGCCCACAGCCCTCCACGGCTCCCACCTCCCTTGGGGCAAAGCCCAAGTCCCCCGCACTGCCCACCAGGCCCTGCAGGACCTGCTCCGACCCCTCCTGGCCCTCCCCCCTCCAGCCCCAGGGGCCTCCTCGCTGTGCCTCCAACACACCAGGCACATCCTGCCCCAGGGCCTTTGCACGGCCGTGCCTCTGCCTGTGAAATGCTGTTTCCCAAGATCTCCCCACGGTCCCCTCTTGCAGGTCCCCTGGCACACTCTCTTCTCCTCTGCTTTATTTCTCTCCTACGTGTAAAATTCCTTGTCGCTTCGCGTTTCTCATCTGTGTCTTGTGCACTAGACCGTAAGCCCACGTGGCAGGGCGTTTAGTCTGTCCCGGTGTCCGGGTCAGGGAGCGCCACACGGCACGTGCCAGTGGGCGTGAACGAACCAAGAATTCTGCTCTCTCCTGTCCAGCTACGCGCCTGCCGGCACTGGTGTGCTGGACAACCAGGGGGGGTGTCGGGGCCACACCGTGGGACCGACAGCACCCGCCCTCCTCCGCGCGACAGCAACAAACGTGCCCAGACACTGCTAAACGTTCCCTGGATGGCAGAATTGTCCCAATTCCGCACCACCGGTACAGAAGGACAGGAGCCATCAGTTAAATACCGACCTAAGGACACTCTCCCCTCCAGCCCTGACTTCCTGGGGCTGCCAGTGTCTGTCCAGCTCCGCCCGGAGACTCCGCGAGGGAGGGCTGGGACCCTGCCGAGGCCCCCTGGCAGGCCCGAGCCCGCAGTGAGGACACGGAGCACGGCTGAAGGGAAGAGGGCAAGGGGTCCCCTGCCCAGTTGGGCTCTGTTGGCTTTGTCCTCCCAGCAGTGACCCCTCTGTGCCTCAGTTTCCCCATCCATGGAGCAGGCTCCGTGGGACACGCCTGGTGTTCTCTGTCCCGTCCGAGCTCCCTGGCAGAGGCCGCCCGCCCACCCCCGTGTCCCCAACACGCCTCCCCGCTGCCCCGGCCACCTTGTGCAGGGAGAAGGTCCTCACGCAGAACGTGGCCAGCTCGACGGTGTCCAGCAGGGTCACCTGGATGAAGCCGTAGGTCTCCGTGCCTCTGCCGGGCCAGTACTGGTCACACTTGATCTGCGGGCGACAGGACAGCGTGAGCGCGGCCGCGCGGTGGGGGCGCCCGAGGCCCGCGGGCCCCGCCTCACCCGCGACTTCTCCTCCAGCCGCGTCATCATGACGACGGTGGCCGACCGCTGCTCCCACACCATGCGCCAGAAGTCGCCGAAGGTCTCGGGCAGCGGCCCCTGCGTGGCGATGTACGCGTTCTGCCGCCGGTAGCCGTCCACGTAGTTGGCGTTGATGTAGTCGCTGCCCGCGATGCCTGCGCCAGAGCCGGGGCGTGGGGCTGGGCCGGGCGCCCGCGCGGCAGCTCCTCCAGGGCCCCGAGGCGACCGTGGGGCGCGCACTCCCCGTTCCCCCCACTCCTGCCCTGGGGGCGGGTCCACCCTGGGGCGGGTCCACCCTGGGGCGGGTCCACCCTGGGGCGGGTCCACCCTGGGGCGGGGTCACCCTGGGGCGGGGCCACCCTGGGCCTGCGGGCGCTGAGCAGCGTCCCCGCCCCCACCCGGCCACGCCAGGAGCTCCCGGGTGTGACAGCGCAAACGTCCTGGGTGGGAGGACTGTTCCCATGGAGCCCGCTGCGGCAGAGGGACAGATGGTGCCGAGTGACAGACAGCAGCCATCAGTTAAATACATATCGAAAGATGCCCAGTGGCCTCCACCCGATTCCACGACCGGAAGCAGGCCCGGGCGGCCAGGGCCCCGCGCGCGGGGCGTGAGGAAGGGCGCGGCCGGCGGTACCTTCGATGGGCTGGAGGATGACCCGCGAGTGGTCGTAGGCGATGACGTTGGCGTAGCGGTTCTTGGGCTTGTTGGCCTCCAGGTTGGAGTGCTCCCACGTGAACTGCTGCCCGGGGTCGATGGACTGCGGGGCGGGGCGGGCGAAAGACGGTGCGAGTGACGCTGGGCGCGCGGACGGCGGGGCGGCTGACCGGGCGCCGGGGGCCGGTTGCGGGCGCGGGGAACAAAGGAAAAAGCGGCAGCGCTCACACTCGTACTCCTGGGAGAGCTTGAGGTGACAGTAATAAGGCATTAAAGACAGACTAAACAGGTGGGCATACGCCATGTCGCGAATGAGAATTGGAGCGTGTGGCTGAGCAGGCCGCGGGACAAAGGGGCGGAGGCGCCGGCAAGAGCAGGGCGAGGACGAGCGCTCCGGATGTGTGAGTCATGCGGCAGGCGCGCGCTGCGGTGGGTGGGGCGCTCAGGGAGGCGCAAGCGGCTCGGTTGGCAGTGTTGCCTGTCCGGCGCCCACCCAGACCCAGCGGGGGGGCAGGTGGAGGTCAGCCCGAGAGGGCAGGTGGGCGCAGGGAGCCGCAGAGCGGGCGTGGCCGGTGACGGAAGCGCCGTCCCCGCCGCTCTGTCCCCCTGGAGCCGAGGGACGGGCCGTCCTCCGCCGGGCAGTCGCGGGCCTGGGCGGGGCGCACGCGGGAACCCCGGGCCTCTGCGGGCTCCCACGGCGACGCAGCAGGTGCCACCCGCGTCTGCCACCGCCAGTACTCTCCCGCACGCGACTGACGACCAGAGGGCCGGCGGCCGCTCCTCTCCCGCCACGCGCGTCCCGCCGCCACCCGCGCGAGACCGGCCCCCTCGGAGCCAGCAGGACGGAGACGACGCGCAAGCCACCAAGGAAGCGGAGGACAGAGACAGGGAACTAACTTTCCAAGTGAAGGCCCGGCTCCCTGAGGGGGCGGCTGAGGCCTGAATCTGCAAACAGCAAACAATAAATAAATGAAACCGCGCAGGGCCCGCCCGCCTGCGCCCCGCAGGCCTCCAAAGCCGCGTGACCCGGCCCCAGGAACAGCCTGGCCTTGGGTCCCCGTCGGGGCCAGCAGAGGGGGTTCTGGGAGAGAAGGATGCAGGCGGCGAAGCGGAAACCGGGGGGCAGGGGAAGGACATATGGGCCCATGCCATGCGCTTCAAGGAGGACAGCAGCCATCAGTTAAATACGCACACTTAAAACCCGTATTTGGATGGAAATAGAACTGACATTAAGCTTAGTCCGGAAACAGAAAAGACATGGAAGCGCATTAGGGGTGAATCATGAGACTCTGCGTGAACCCTTCGGGAGACTGCAGCCATCAGTTAAATACAGGTTTAACATTCTGATGCGGATGAAAACTGCAGTGGTAAGAGCCAGTCCAGAGAGAAGAAAGAGAAGAGAATACTCGGGGCAGGGGAGGGAGATATGAGACCCCGAACGATCCTTCCAGGAGGACGGCAGCCATCAGTTAAATAGAAATGGTTAAAATCCTCCTCTGGATGAACACAGAAGCGAGGTGCGTGAGCCGGGCCAGAGACAGAAAAAGGGAAGCACGTCGGGAATGCACGTGGCGCTGCGCGGGAGCCCTCGAGGGAGACTGCGGACATCAGTTAAACGTTTAGAGCCTCCGCCTGGCCGGTGTGAGCCAGGCCAGAGTCAGGAAGTGGAGACCTCGGACAGGTGGAGGGGCAGAGGGCACCGTGCGACCCCACACGGAGGACAGCAGCCGTCAGGAAAACGAAAAACGCCTCATCTGGTTGGAAGCAGCCGGCACGAGCCGTTAGGTCTGGGTCACCGTCCGCAAGGACGGGGCCTCGGTTGGGCTCTCCCGCCAGGGGTGGGGAGACGTTAGCTGAGTCCTGTCGGGCCGCGGGGAGCTACGCGGGGCAGGGGCGGCAGGAGCCCTTGCAGCCCTGGAGGGCAGAGGTGCGGCGCCCGGGGCAGGTGCAACTTCTGGAAAACGCCGGGGCAAACCTTCATTGCGCCCCCAAGGGCCCCTGGGACTGGAAGCACAGACAGAGCGTAGCTCTTTCTGCAGGCGGAAACAGGGGCTGGGGTTTTTGGGGTGCGTCTTCTCGTTTTTTGTTTGTGTGTTTGTTTTGAGATATTCTTTAGGTTCCTGGAGCGGACAGCAGCCATCAGTTAAATATAAAATTTTTTTTTCCCAATTTTTTTTTCAAAAACCTAAACACAGAAAGTTGCGTGGAAGTTTACAAAGCCTCACGCGGTGGGCAGCAGAGCAACCCACGGGCGAGCCCCAAGCCCAGAGCCGTGGCGGGCGGGGTTTGGGAGCCGGGACTTCAGCTGTCCCGGGCACGGTTCAGAGGGGCGGTGAGGCCCTCCAGCTCCCTCCCCGTCGGGGGTGGCCCTCAGGGAGGGAGCCGCACGTACCTGGGGTCTGGAAGTTGATGCGCCTCATCTCCACGGGGTCCTTGGGGTGGTGGGGGGCGAGGTCCGCGTTGTTGAGCAGGCATTTGGTGCGGGGCTCCGAGTCCTTGCGCTTGCTTCTCGGGGGCAGGCGGGAGGGCCGGTGAGGGCGGCGAGCGCCCCGAGACCCGCGCGCACGCACCCGGGCCCAGGACCATGCAGGGGGGGGGGGACACGCATGCACCTGCCACTGGGGTTCCCAGGCCCACGCGCAGATGCGTCCCTTCCCCACGCCCCTGCCTCAACCTCCCCAGGGCACGGCGGGGCTCACCTGTCAGGTTTGCTGCTCGGAAAGCAGGCACAGGGGAGCAGGGGCAAGAGAAGACAGGTTAGGGCTCGGCAGGTGACTCCGGCCTCCTTGAAGGGGCACCGTCCTTCCCGCTTGAACCCCAGCCCCGCCATCCCCCGGGCTGTGTGACTTTGACCAAGTGGCCTAACCTCTGAGCCTCGGTTTCCCCCTCTATCCCACAGAGGCCTTCAGTGATGATCTTTCCCTGAATCTCCCCAGACCCTCCCTCTTCCTCCTCCAGGAAGCCCTCCCTGCTAAATGCCCTTGCATCTGCTCTCCTGACGTTCTCCAACAACCCCCCCCCCCGCTCCCGGCCTTTTACTAGGCAGGGCTAGGGCACCTTGCAGGATTTGGGAGACAGAGCTGGGAGTGCCCCGTGGGGAAAGGACTCTGCCTGAGGAGGCAGAGAATTAAGGGTTATGAGACTCTGTGGGCACTGAAGCTGGGGCTTTGAGGGATGTATATGAGTTCGAGAACTAGAACTACATGAGGTGTGGGGGACTGAGTGCAAGGGGCTCACTTCTTGTAGAGCAGGATGGCAATGACGATGCAGATGATGAAGACCACGGCTAACACAGGTCCGATCACCCAGATGAGCCCCTCCTCGCCATCCACGATGGGCTGTGGGTCCGGATTATCCAGCTGGAAGGGGTCTGAGAAGGGGCTGGCTGCGAAGGTCTGCAGGAACAGGGGCGCCTCCATCAGAATCCATCTTCCTCAAACACAAACCTGTGCTCCTCCCCTGCTCAAAAACCTCCTACTGGTTCCCTAGAACCCGGACCCTGGTGGCCTGTATGGCCCGGTCCCTGCCAATCTTCACTCTCCCCATTCCAGACACTCTGAAATCCTTTCTGTCCCTCTTGCACCTCCACATCTCCGCACACGCAAGCCCTGGGATGCCTTTTCTTTTGTTGAACTCCTACACATCCCTCAAAAGCCCCAGCTCCAATGTCCCTTCCTCTAAGAAGCCTTCCCTTTAGGATTCCCCCCCATCCCAATCCTCCCCTCTGCCCAGCTCTGACCACAGGGAGCTGGGGGGCTCTGCCCGTGGCCCTGAGGTCTCTGTGGGGTCTGCCTCTCCCCGGAGGCGGGTCTGGGCGCGGGCAGACGCCGCGCACGTACGGGCTCGCTCTTCTGCAGCACGGCAAGCACAAAGAGGACGTAGCGGTGGCCGGGCTCCAGGCCCCGGTTGTCGAAGCCGCCGTACTGCTTCTGGTCGCCGGGGTGGAACGTGGAGGGCAGCACGGAGAAGCGGGCGGCGATGTAGGGCCGGGGCGCCTCCAGCTGGCGCGAGTGGCGCAGGCTGCGCCTCTGCAGCCGTGAGATGTCCTGGATGAGCTGTGGGGACACGCGTGGAAGCTCGGAGCTCGGCGGGGAGCAGCGGGGCACAGGGACACGCGACACCTGGGCGGCCCAGACCCTCACCTCCTCGAGGTCCATGTCTTCCGGGCTGCCCAGCGGGCTCAGGAACTGGCCCCCACGGGACCTGCGGAGCGGCACCATCACGATGAAGTAGCTCCTGTCGGGAGACGGGCAGGCGTTGGAGGGGGCCGTCTATACCTCCTGCCTAGAAGGCTTGCCTCATGTAGTCCTAATTCTGGCACTCCTACACATCCCTCAAAGCCCCAGCTTCCATGCCCACACAGTCTCATAGCCCTTAATTCTTTGCTTCCTCAGGCAGTGTCCTCCTTTCCCCACTGGGGACTCCCAGCTCTGTCTCCCCACCAGTCAGGAAGCCCAGAACCAAATCCTCTAAGGTGCCCGGGCCCTGCCTGCTAAAAGGTCAAGGACAAGGGGGTGCTGGGGAGTTTCAGAAGAGCAGACATGAGGGCGTTCAGTGACGATGGCCCGTAAGAAACTCCGAATCTTTCGGACAACCTCACGAGGCGGGGCTGATGGGATCCTTGTTTAATAGACAGGGAAACTGAGGCATGGAGCGGCTCGCGGCCGGCTGATGGGGGGTGGGGCCGAGCGTACTGGACGGGCACGGGGCTCTGGCCGTCGGGCAGATAGACCATGATGAAGCCGTCGGCGTCGGGCTTGGGCGCCACGCTGGGCTTGGCGCTGAGCAGGTTGAAGGCGGTCCAGGCGGTGACCGTCTGCTGCAGGCCGCCCAGGCTGCTGCCGCGGCCGGCCAGCACGAAGTTGTAGAAGGTGTGCGGCTTGAGGCGCGTGATCAGCTTCTTGGTGGTGCGGCCGTCCACGTCCAGCGTGAGCCCGTTGTACTGGATCTGCGGGCCGGGCGTCAGCGGGGCCGGGCGTCAGCGGGGCCTGGGGGCCGGATGCCCCAGCGGAGCCCGTCCCGCGGATGCCCCACCCGGACTACACCCGAGTCCTGGCAGAGCCCGGAGAAAACGCGACTCCGAGAGTCAACCCTGCCCGAACCCCAAGCCCAGACTGAGCCCCCTCCAAACTCAGCCCCAGCCCGAGCCCCACCCCTGACTGAGCCTTGATCCCAGGCCGAGCCCCGTCTGCACCTGAGCCCCGATCCCAGCCTGAGCCCCCCTCCAAACTCAGCCCCAGCCCCAGCCTGAGCCCCAACTCTGATTGACTAAGCCTTGATCCCAGGCCGAGCCCCGTCTGCACCTGAGCCCCGATCCCAGACTGAGCCCCCCTCCAAACTCAGCCCCAACCCCAGCCTGTCCCTGAGCCCTGATCCTAGACTAGCACCGAGCCTAGGCTAAACCTCGATCCCAGGCTGAGCCCCAACTCTGATTCCTGGCGCTGGCTGACCCTGGATCCCGACTCCGCATGGACCCCACATGGAACCCTGGCCCTGACCGCCCACCGGCCGGGCGGCGGGCACCTTGTAGGGCGTGGGCGAGTTGTAGTTGTCGGGGAACTCCCAGCTCAGCAGCACGGACGTCTTCATGATCATCTTCACCTTGAAGTTCCTGGGCGAGACTGCGCGGGCGTGCGGGGAGAGAGCGGAGGGGAGGCGGTGAGCGCGCGGCGGGGCGGGCGGGGCGGCCCAGGCGCTCCCTGTCGTGGCTGTGCCCGTCCCCGGCCTTCCTGCCTGGCCCTGGCCCGGCCCTGCCTGCCCTGTCCCGAGTCCCTGCTGCGGAGACGGCGGCTGCGGAGCGGAGGAGGAGGAGGAGGAGGAGGAGGAGGGGGAGACGGAGGGGAGGGGCGGCGGTGGTGCCACTGAGGCACGTCCCACCTTTGCCAACGCCGGAGCCTCTGGGGTCTGGCCTCGCCTGAGCCTCGCGAGGAAGCAGAAAAGCGACACTTACCTGGGGGCGGGGGCGGGGGGGCCCGGCTGCGCGCGGGGTGGCCGCGCCTACCTTGGTCCCGCGGCAGCGCCCGGTAGCGCACGGGGGGGCTGAAGGGGCCGGGGCCGCGGCGCGTGTGCGCGCGCACTTGCAGGTCGTAGGCCGTGTCGGGCTTGAGGCCGCGCAGCGTGAGCGCGTTCTCGGCGCCGGGCTCGGCGGCCGCGGGCAGCTCGGTCTCTCGCGCGGGCCCGGGCGCGCCGGCCTCCCGCACGGCCACCGTGTACTTGACGATGGCGCCGTTGCGCTCGGCGGGCACGGGCGGCAGCCAGCGCAGCAGGACGGTGCCGGCCGACGCGTTGCCCGCGGCCTCCAGGATCTGCGGGTGGCCGCGGGGCGCGTCCTCGGGGATGCTCAGGGCCTCGGCCGCCTCCTCGCCCAGGCCGCCGCGGCCGCGCGCCGCCAGCCGGAACACGTACGTGGCGCCCTTGTGCACGCCCGACGCCGCGTAGCGGTCCTCGGAGGGCGGGAACTCCAGCGTGGCCAGCGGCGCCGCGTCCTCGCGGCCGAACTGCAGGCGGTAGCCCAGCACCTCGCCCTCGGCCGCGCCCGCGGGGGGCGCCCAGCGCGCCAGCAGGCTGCCCTCGGCGGTGTGCTGCACGGACAGGGCGGGCCGGCCCAGCACTGCGGACAGGGACAGGACAGGGACGCGTCAGGGCCACCGCGGGCTGCCCTCGGCGGTGTGCTGCACGGACAGGGACAGGGATGCGTCAGGGCCACCACGGGCTGCCCTGGGCCGTGTGCTGCACGGACAGGGCGGGCCGGCCCAGCACTGCGGACAGGGACGGGGACAGGGACGCGTCAGGGCCACCGCGGGCTGCCCTCGGCGGTGTGCTGCACGGACAGGGACAGGGACGCGTCAGGGCCACCGCGGGCTGCCCTCGGC